GGGGTACACTTTCTTTGACCTTCATTTTCTGGCTGACATGCATGTAGAAGCATGTGTATTATTATTATTATTGTTATTATTCTTTGCATCCCTTGCAAGGTTAAGCTCCAGTCATGCCTTGGTCATCCTGACCCCATCCCTACACAACTGGGCAACATTCCTATAGTCTTCCAAGGATACCTGTCCTTGCTTTTACTGCCTGTGCATTTCCTTCTTGCCCTTCAGTTCCACCAGCAGGTTTAGACTCAGCAACGTCAGTCACCTTTCCATCTTTTACACCTGAGGATGGAGAGCTCTTACGCTCTGTGGTAAGCATCCTTAAAGGTCTGCCAGCTCAGTTCTGCTCTCTTGTCCCTGAGGGCAGTTTCTCAGGGAGTCCTGTTGACCAACTCCTTGAACAGCTGCAATTTTGCTTTACTAAAATTCAGAGTCCTGACTGTACTCTTCACCTGACACATATACCGTAGGACTGTGAATTCCACCACTGCATGATCACCACCGCATGCTGCCCAGGCTGCCTCCATTCTTGAAATCACTAATTAGTTCACTTGCATTGGTGACCAACAGGTCTAGTATTGTAACCCCTCTGGTATGACTGTTACCTGGCATGAGAAGTTATCCTCAGTGCATTCCAGGAGTCTCCTGGATTGCCTGCAGCTCGCTGTGCTACTTTCCCAGCAGACATCAGGGTGGTTGAAGTTCCCTAGCAGTACAAGAGCCTGCAAGCATGCCACCTCCTGTAGCTGGAGTAAGAAGGTTTCATCAGCAGGCTCCCCTTGATCGGGTGGCCACAAGGTTCCTTTTGTTGCTTTGGTCTCTAATTCTTACCCACATGCTTTCAACCTTTGTGGCAGCTATTCTTCAGAGATAGCTCTTTGCACTCTGTCTCTTGATACAGAGGGCAACTTCACCTTTTCTTCCCTTTTGAACAGCCTGTAGCCATTGATAGCTGTACTCCAGTCTTAGGATTTATCCCATCAAGTTTCAGTAATGACAACTAGGTCTTAGCTTTCTAGCAGCATGGCAACTTCCAGCTCCTCTTTGTTGCCCATGCTGTGTGCAATAGTGTAGAGCTGCTTCAGCTGCCAGCTATGTTACCTTCTTAGAAAACCACTCCTTAATAATTAAGATAGATAGCCACTTTTAATACCCTCTGTACACAATGAAAAGGAGGTACACTTACATCTCACTTTACCTCTCTTGTTTTATACAACTGCTATAAGAAGAGGTGATTAGGTCTCTAAAAGTGCTTATTTCTTTCCAGTGATTATAAAGAAAACTTAAGCAACTACTATAAGCATCTAAATTTGATCAGAAGGATAACAATCCAAAGAAAGGTTCACCTGCACAGCGAGAAATAGAAATCAGGATCATAAGCCTGAAGAGAAAGTAATCTCAGTACTGCAAATGCAGACATCAGTGAGTATGCTAGAGGTTATCATAGGTCAGTGAAAAGAAAATATTGGCCACAATAAAATAATAAATGAAAAAAAGATCACCAAAAACAAGCAAACCAAACAAAAAAAATAAGAATGGGCACAAATTGCTAAAGTACAAGTGTTTGACCACTGATATTTCATATCTAGCAAAAGTAGGTAGTGAAGATGCAGCTCTATTAACTCATTTGGATCTCCTAGTGGTTCATACCAGAGTTCAGGAGGAATAGAATAGATTCAGCAGTTTTTGAGTGGGTCTTATACAAAGAAGACAGCATGAGTCAGACCTGGTTGTATAAGTAAATCTTTCCATACAGTGAATATTATTTTCTTTTTTTTTAAAATAGTCTTTTAATATTCTATGTGGGTGTTTCTAAAAATGAGATGAGTTACTTTTAGATATGGCAATGTCCACATGTACATGTGCACAAAACTCAGATAAAGAATGGAACACGAGTCAAAGAAATAGAATATAACTCCATGGCAGTTATATTTGTAGCAGGTGAAGGACAGAACACAAGATTTCTATTAAATAAATCATAATTTATTACACGTGCCTGTATTTAGATGCCCAGTTAAGTGCCTAATTACATGAAAAATCCAATTGCCATGTTAAGCGATATTAATTTTCAGGCACACCTGCTGAGCTTAGGGTTGTCATTCAGGTACCTGCTCAGTTGCATGCTGTTGTGCACCACCTGCAGAAAATATTTGTGTGCCTGTCAGGAGTCTGGCACAAGTTATTAGTGAAGAAAACCATGGCTTTGCAGGTTCAGCAGGCAGTCCTATGTTCTATCCAACATCGCTGAAAAATTTCATTACAATTCCTAACTGGAGCTCTGGCAGTGAAGCTTTTTCTGTTCTGATGAGGTGATGTGCAGGGAGAGCCGTTTCTCTGCTCAGACTGCAGATGCTTTTGATTTCTTGGACCTCATCTCCAGTTGACGAGTCCTCTGCTATGCTTTCCTACCTTTTTCTTTATTCTTTTCTCTACTACCTTGACACATGCTGTATGCCATTAGAGAGAAAAAATACTGCTGGAACTTCTATTCTTAGTGTCGGTCCATTTGCTTTGTTGATTATCATCCTAACCGTCAAAGAAATGAAATGGCATTATTTTGCAGTACCTACAATCCATAGTACTAGCTTTCACATTGCTCTTTGTTTCCTTGACAGTTAGAAACTGTTTCTGTTTTTCCTCATGAGTGCTTTATGTATGATACTGAACAGCTAACAGTGACAGCTAAAGCATAGCAAGCGGCACTAAAGGACATTTCTCAAATGTGTTTCTTTGCCCTTTCTTCACATTGAAGATGTTAATAAGACTCAAGACTACCTATGTTTTTCTATGGAGGATAGGATCTTTAGTGCTTGAATACCTCTACACTCTCATAAATATTATTTGACAGAAAGTGAGGGTTCATTCTGGGAAGTTTATTTGATTTCATTTACAGCTTTGGCTTGAATGCATTATTTTAAAAGCTCCTTGCTTAGACCAAAAGGTGACATTTTCTTACATATTCATCCATTTTACTGTAAATTGCAGGGAATGAGGTTGAGGGAATGGAGCACTACATGACAGGCCTGGAAAGGGGCAAGTCAACAGAGAGGGAGGGCACATGTAAGGGGCATGAAAAAGGGACAAGACTAAAATTGTAATGGATCAACCACTTCTTTTCAGGGAACCAAACCCTAAGAGCTTTAAAGAGAACTTTGAGGTTGTCCTGTTTCAGAGCCCAATGCAGTGAAATACTAGATGTTGGAGCTGATAGAAACTTTCTGGAGAAACAAACAGATTTGCTGTAAGTACTTCTGGTGAATAAGGTTAAACTTTGAAGAGGTATCAAGAGCCTATCTTCATACAGGAGGTGCTCCAGTCCCCTGATCATCCTTGTGGCTCTCCTCTGGACTTGGTCCAACAGTTCCATGTCCTTTTTATGTTGAGGACATCAGAAGTGCACACAATACTTCAAGTGAGGTCTCACAAGAGCACAGGAGAGGGGCAGGATCACCTCCTTTGACCTGCTGGTCATGCTCCTTTTGATGCAGCCCAGGATACGGTTGGCTTTCTGGGCTGCAAGCACACACTGAAGCCGGCTCATGTTCATTTTCTCATCGACCAACACCCCCAAGTCCTTCTCTGCAGGGCTGCTCTGAATCTCTTCTCTGCCCAACCTGTAGCTGTGCCTGGGATTGCCCTTACCCAGGTGTAGGACCTTGCACTTGGCATGGTTAAACTTCATAAGGCTGGCATCAGCCCACCTCACAAGTGTGTCAATGTCCCTCTGGATGGCATTCCTTCCCTCCAGAGTATCAATCGAACGACACAGCTTGGTGTCATTGGCAAACTTGCTGAGGGCGCACTCAATCCCACTGTCCATGTCAGCGACAAAGATGTTGAACAAGATCGGTCCGAACACTGATCCCTGAGGGACACCACTCGTCTCCAGCTGGACATTGAGCCATTGACCACAACTCTTTGTGTGCAGTCATCCATCCAGTTCTTTATCCATTGAGTGGTCCACCTATCAAACTGATGTCTCTCCAATTTAGAGACAAGGATGTCATGCGGGACAGTGTCAAACGCTTTGCACAAGTCCAGGTAGATGATGTCAGCTACTCTACCCCTTTACTTTATTCAAGTCTAGCTTGCAAAACCACCTCTCTACACTCCATGGAAAATTTAGCATTTCTTGGTGTTGATACTATAGTTCTAAATTTCATGTGTCCTGTCCTCAAACTTTCCGGTTTGGGCATCTGCCTGAATGCACCAGAGCTTCCTTCTGGCTCGTAAACCTGACTTCCCCAAACACCACAGCACTGGAGGGATGGTGAAGGGAGGAAGGCATTTCTGCCATGGAGCATGGAAGCATTGACCCTGAACAGGGAAGTTGTAAGGTTGGACATGACCTGCTAAGTCCCAGAGATTGCAGTGAACATAAAGGCAAGGTTAACCCCACTTTTTTTTTTTTTGCAGAGGATGTTTTTGACACTTTTTGATTTGTGTCATCTTCTCCTTCACTTTTCCTTATATAATCAGCAGTGCAAACCCAGATAATAAAAAAATGTAATAAAGGCAAAGAATTTTGCTCCCTTCAACAGGAATTACCTGATTTCTAGACACTCAAGGAGGTAAAAAGATATTGTGAAAATAACCATGAAAGAGTTTCCTGATCAAATGTTTCAGAGAGTAGTTTTCTCCTTCTGGAAAGGAAAAAAAAAAAAAAGAAGTCTTAAAAAGAAAGCTACAAAACCTACATAGAAGCACACAAACATCCATGCATACACGTGCAAGTATAGAGACCTATAAAATATGTTACACATGTGAGCTCAGCTTTATCCCAGTATAATGCCTATCGATTTAATTCCAACTGATTGTGTTAAATATGTGTCAAATATTTTCAATCTCTTCTTAGGATGATAGCATTTTTAAGTATATTTTAAGTATATTTTACTCTCCATTTACGTACTACACCAAAAGCAAATATATTGAGTAAGAGGAAATGCATCTGCTGTGCACATATTTAATCCCCTATTTTTATTCTTTTCACTCTTTTCACACAGAGGTTGAAAGATTTAAAACAAAGGGAATTTGCTCGAAATGTGGCTTCAAAGTCATGGAAAGATGAGAAGAAACAGGAAAAAGCACTCAAGCGGCTCCACCAGCTTGCAGAGTTACGGAAGCAGTCCGAATGGCAAGTATTTCTATTTACATTACATTTTAATGCCCTCTTTCCCCAGTCCCAGAAGAAATTTCCATATTTTTACTTCCACACTGTGTAATGTACAGAGATAGTGTATACTGTAACCTGTTTTCAGCTCAACTCCAAATGTTCCTGTTCGTAAACCATAAAATTGAAAGCCCTGAATTAATTACTTGCTATTTAAAGGTTTGTGTTTTTCTCTCCTGTAGCTAGTTATTCTCCTCTCTTCTGAAATGAGTGAAGATGTTTTATAATATCACTATTTTACCTTGCTCAAACTGACCTGAATAGATTAGTATAGCTGTTTTCTCATTTGATAGAAAGGGAACAGGAGAGAAAAAACACCTTTTTTGAGCATCTGTATTTGGTTTGTAAAAAATTTTCACTACTATTAATATACTGATATTATTCTCGCATTATCTCTGTAGAGTAATGGAAGTATCATCATATGAATGAAAAACAAGTAATTAACTGAAATAAGTTTATCCAATATTGTTTGCTCTATTGATAAATAACTAGATACAGTACCAAGTTTGCACTAAGAAACCTTTACATTTGAAAAATCTTCTTGGTTTAATGATGCTGAATGTTTCACTAGAATAGATTGCCACTAGACCAATTATTTATATTAATCTACGACTGTAATGAGTTAAGTAGATAATTAAACTGGCATCCTTTGAAATTTGTATCAAGCTTACTGTACCCTGGAAATAATAACATTCAGAGTTTATTATACATTCATTTTAGCCTATGTAATTGCATTTGAGTAATCTGCTGAAGTATAGCAGTTTAGTGCTAATGTGTCACTTTAATGGTTACAACTCCATTTTCATATAAATTCACTGAAAGAAATGTAACAGCCTGTGGGAAGATGCCTTTATGCCCACACACTTGAAGATGTAGTCTCAGATAGACCAATAAGGTCAGTGATAATAGGAAATCCAGAGTGAGATGGGGAGGGAAAAACGGGTTTGCTTTTAGAAAGAGCCAGGAGTCCATAATTCTTTACAAAGAGCCTGGAAAGACAGTGCTTGTTATTCCCCTTTGTAATGACTAATAGGTTCAGAGGTGGCTGAAAACCATGATCTTGGTGGATGGGTAGCATTCCCAGATGCTTGGGCAAGAAAGAAATTTAGCCTTTCTAAGAAAAAGTTTACACATACATACACAATTGTGGTTATCCCTGAGTACTGTGTCTCAAATTCCAACAGAGTTTCTTACAAAAGGTTAATACAATTGGACAAAAAAATTGTTGTTAATCTCATGCACAGAAAAACTGAAAATGCAGCTTTGTTTTCCTGTTCCAAGGAAACTTTGAAAATGATGTTTTTTCAAAGAGCCTTCTCACAGAGATAATTTCTTCTTACGCAGAAATAGGGTTGAATTTTTATCTCCTGAAGCAAAACATGTGGCAAATCCAAATATACTCTCAGAAATGTATGTATATTCTCATACTCCAGGTTGACCCTACTCTAGGGAGTCTTTATGTTGTTCCTACTGCTGAAGATCAATGCATTTTTACAGCATTTTAAAACATTCTAGCCTATTTATAGATAGCTGTTATGCAGACACTGGCTGTCATAATTTACTTACATTTAATTAAACTATTTTCTAATTTTTAATCAAATTCTTTACTGAAGCAGGTTCCAAAATTTTTTCATGCAAGTGTATAGTAGTACTGAATTGATAGCAGATGTATATAATTGGTCTAATGAAATGCATGTTTAAAATATTACTTGGAATAACATTTGTATGGAAGCTGTATATGTCATATCTCTAATTTAAAATGGCAGCAGTCATTCCATCTCAGTTAATTATCTATTGCAAGAAATGAGTGGTTTACTATGTTTGTTAAGGCCTTCTCAGGTCAATTTAAAAAAAAATAAAAGTACAAGAAAACAAAAGCACAGATTTAAAATTTGAGACTGGGGAAGAAGGAAACTGTAATTGATGGAAGTAGAATACAGAAAGAGAAAATATGGCAAAGTTAAATAGTGATTGATAATCAGAGCACTGAAGTTGTCATTAATATTGATGGAAATCCACCAATGTCCTTTTTCCACCAATGTTTGGTAACAGTTTTAGCATACTATCTCTCTGAATTTTTCACAAAAACATTTATTTTGGAATAACATAAAGATAAAATAAATATATACTCTTTAAAAAATCATACATACCCCACCTCCCAAGCAAGACGAATGCTTAACTGTTTGACTCTGCAGATGCTCCAGGTAGAAAAGTCTCATTTTGATCAAAGCCCGATTTCCTTTACAGTGGCCTCTCAGAAAACCAAGACTTACACAAGCTTCTCCTTGATATAAATTCACAGTGAAGACAATATTGTTTATTCTGCATGTACATGGGCATAACTCTGAAAAAGATTATGCATGTGCTGACTTCAAATCATATAATTTCCAGCATGAAAAAAATGTGTTGCCCATATAAAAGCCCAAGCTTGGGCCTAGACTGCACATTTACCCTTTAGAAACTTAGTTTTCCCCCGAAACAGTGCAAACAACACACTTCTTTACCAGACAGGTAATGGCAAATGTGAGTTCTGTCTTAACTTGGTTAATTAATACAACTTTCTTTACTATTTATTTATTCATTCTCTTACAGCATCACTGGGAGTGGATCATTGCTTAAAGCCCCCCGATTTGTCATGGAAAAGCAACAATCACCAGATAGCATTTTCCTGTGCAAGGGCAGCAAGTTCACAGCCAGTTCTCAAAGAATGGCCGTGAGTGAGGGACATGGTTTCTCCAGCAGCGTAATAGAGAAACAGCAGCTTGTCGTAAGCAGGCACCAGTCCCCTACTGAAAGACGGCATGCACTTGGGAATCAAGTCCCTCAAATGTTCCCAGACAGCACCAACACTTCTCAAAGGGCAGGAGTGTCCTTCTCATTCTCTAAAAAAGTCCCTTTGAAGCTCGAGTCCTCAGCATCAGTCTTCAGTGAGAACTCTGAAGAAGGAAATGATTGTAGTGAATCGCTCAACCATAAAACAAAGCAAGCTCTTGAGAGCTGCCTTTCTGGCACATTTTCAGAGGAGGATGTGAAAGCAAGCTTGGATATAGGGTCACCTATTACACAAGACCAAATGGATTTGGATAACAGTACATCAAGTCATGTAGCTGCAAAACTTAAAATGTTAAAGGAAAATGATGTAACTAGTGATAGAGAATTAGAAGAAAAGGTCAGTGCTCACTCTTCATTTTCCAAAAGTAAAATACAGCTTTCAAATTTGGAATTTGCTGGTTCACTTAGAGAGACAGAGCAAGAAAGCAAATTGAATGAGTCCGAGCAATTGTTAGAAACTTTCATTTCACCTTCATGCCAAGCTAGCAATTTTTGTACACAGCCAAACACCTACAAGCACAGCAATGCCCACCTGCCTGACCAGTTACCCGAGCTCCCACAACAGCCAGCACCTGAACTGTCATGCACAAGCAACATTAATGACTGTCCTAGAGTGGTAAAAAGAGAAAGATCTTTGGAAAGGTCAGAAACCACAAATGGGAATATGGAAACGCTTCCAAAGGAGACCATGGCTAAAGAGGTTAAGCCCCAGGCATTGCCTTTCCTCCATGTAGTGAGCAAAGATGGCTCTACTGCTCTGCAGTGGCCCACAGAATTACTTTTGTTTACAAAAACTGAGCCCTGTATTTCATATGGCTGTAATCCATTGTATTTTGATTTCAGACTCTCTTTAAATCACAGAGATGGTAAACAGCATGAAACAAACAAAGCAAGCTGTAAAGAGCATTCTATAAATAAGACTGCAGATGAAAACGAAGCCTCAGGTTTAATAAAACACACGCAAATGTCAAATGAACAAGATAATCAGTTGTTGAAACCAAAGAAGATGAAAGGTTCCCTAAATTCAAGAAAGGCCAAGCAAAAAGTTGAGTCAGACATAGGGAAAGAAATGGATGAAAATGGTCAAAAATGCATTGCAGATTATTTGAACGAAAATATACCCAAAGTGCCTGATGTCTCACAAAAGGAGTATGTGACAGAAAAATGTCTTCATACAACACCACTGAGGAGACCTTTAAAGCATTATTTTCATTGCTGTGAAAGAAAAAAACAGAACATTAGAAATGAAAGCGTTTCTTTTTCTGCTTTTATGTCTAGGATTAAAAAGTCTAGAGCTGCAAAACATCATTTAATTTATTCTGAAGCAAAATGTGAAAGCCAAAATGACTGCAGATCCATTCAAGATGTGGCCAGCTGTAGCAGTGACATAAGTGACAGTGGAAAAGACTCTAGTGGAAGTTTCCTTAGTTATAAATCCAGTTCAAACAGCAGGTATTCAGAAATTGAAGGATGTGAAGATTATACAAGATGCTGGAGATTCCTATCTCTTCCAAAGTCCTCCTCCGACAAACATTCCAGCTATACTGACACTTCAGTTAGCAGTACAAGTAGCTGTATGAGCTACAGGAGTACCACATCAAACAATCACAGCAGAAATAATTTGCTTTTTTGTTGTAAAGGAAAAAGCAAGACAGCTGAAAGGCACAAATGTAAACACAGAAAGCACAAGTGTATTTTCACTTCTGATGATACAGACAAGGAGTATCTTTGTTGCAGTAGAAGTCACAGAACTAGAAACTGTACACAGAGAGGTACAATTAAGCATCAAAAATCTTCAAGACATAAAGTTTTACAACACAGAGACAGATCTAAACACAGCCGATGTAGACACCGGCATTTTGGCAAAGTGCATAGTAGAAGTAGAAGCTACCATAACTCCAAAAGTTGTTCCACCAGAGATTCCAGAAGCAGTGAAAGATCATCTAGTAGCAGAATATTAAGAGGCAGCAGTTCAGGGTCCTTCCCTAAAGAGACTGACAACTGTGACAACAAAACAGAAGAGGAGACAGAAGGAGGTTCTAACACTGAACTGAAAGCTGAAACTGCACATTACGAATCTCTGAATGAGAATAGTCAGTCAAAAAACTTTGCCACCTGCTCTTCTGAAATCCTGGCAAAAGACATATGTAGAAAAAGAAAGTCACTGACAGCCAAGTTGCTTTTAGAAAGAGTGCAGTCCAAGAAAACCCAGGAACAAATGCATGACTCGGAAAGATTTTCAAACGCTTGTGGGGTAGAATTAAAGGATCACTCACAAAGTCACTTTGCTCTTCAGTTTTCATCATCAGTAGATGACATTGCAATGTTACCTTTGCGAGAGGAACTGCTAAGCATAGGTGAAAATGTCATGGGGCATAATGAAATCAGTTCATTGGAAACCAGTGTGAAGAGAAACAATTTTGAAGGGTCAGAGATAACTAATGTTGCTCTTTCAACAGGCACTGATTATGATCATTGTCTTTTTAAAGACATCATTCAAATAGGAACAGGCTATAAGAGCTCAAGCATAAAAAGGAACACAGCAATAAAGGAACAATCCAATCTCTTCATTAGTGAAGCGCAACCCTTTATACAAAGCTGTGACCCAGTACCAAATGATTTCCCTGGTGCTTTTTCCTCTAATAGATACTCTGTTGTTGCTAATTCAACAGAGACCAAAGAACTATATGATGTAAACATGGAGTCGAACCAGGCAGAAGGTGGTTCAGACTCTCATTGTGACAATGCTATGCAGAAGTATGACAACACAGTAAATGACCTTGAAGTGTACAGTAAATCCACCTCCCCTCCTTTAATGCAGCAGTCTATCACCTTTTCACCAGAGGAAGTTGACAAATACAGGTTACTGCAGCTGCAAGCCCAGCAACATATGCAGAAACAGCTTCTAGCAAAACACCTGAAAGTTTTGCCTGCCCCAGGACCAGCTGCCTTCTCTGCAACACCAGCAGTTCCTGCCCTCCCTGTTCAGCAGCATGCCACTGTCACCACCATCCACCACACACTGCTGCAACGCTTTGCTGTCTCAGCATCTATGCATCCCCACAGTGGCCATCTCTCTCTGGCACACCTTCATCCACTATCTCAGGCACATTTCACTCCCATATCACTTTCCCCCCTAGCACCAGCCCTCATTCCCACCCACCCTGCTTTGCTGACAGGGCACCCATTGCACTTAGTCTCCACCACCCCCCTCCACCCTTCCCCACTGACCTTCCCAACACTGTCACACACTGCATATATCCCAGCCTTATTTACACCACATCTGAATGCAACCACACCTGTTATACATCCAAATCCCTTAGTCCAGCCATTATGCCAAGGGCAAGAGCCCCATCACTATTTCTGCTCTAGCCAGACCCAACAGTTACCTACAATAAAAGAAGTTTTCAGCCTTTCTAGCTATTTAAACTAGCCCAACTGATGACAGTTATGATCCCAACATGGCTCCAAACCCAAAATAAAATGAATTCTTCAGTGTTCAATCACTTTAGAGGGAAAATGTGTTGTTTTGCTGAGAGCACAATGACAAATATTTTAAAGTCCACATTCTGGCTGACAGCATATGAATGTTGATTTTGTTCTTGTATCACTGAGAAAAAGCTGGTTTAAAGCCTTTTATGATAGAAGGACAGGTCCAGCTAGTTTCATTCTACAGAAAGTTTGGAGAGAGGTGTGAAGTCTGTAACTTTCAGTAGGAATGGGACTGCAGCACCCAGACACAACAGGACCAAGAATATCAACACCGATGAGCGATTTAAAGTAGCCAAATTTAAGGCAGAATAATCTTGACATGCCTCAAATGTTTGCTTTTCTGAGTGTGTATACGCAAGTGCATAGTACCTGGTCTAGTTAAGGTATTTCAGACTGAGCAAAAAAAAAGGTATCTGGGACCACAAGTCCCTGGTTCTGTCTCCTGGGCCCAAAAAAATGGGGAGCCTCTGAATGAGGGGTGCCTTGTTGACACTGGAAGAAGAGGGTCACAACAGTGTCTCAAAGATACTTTAGTGATTTTATCCCTGGGATATGTTGCTTGGACAGTGTAAAGGGACTGTAATCTGGCCACAGGTACACAACAGAAAAGTTCCCTTAGTGTAGGGCACTCTGCTGGCACAAGCAGGCAGCTACTTTTCTCACTGAGCAAAGCAGACCCAAGAAGACAAGGGAAAGAAGGGGATGAAGCCAAGTTCTTTAGCATTGCATGGCTGTGGCTGTAGCATAGGGTATGTCAGCGTTAGGCTGCAGCAGCCCAGAGTTGCCAAGCAGCTAGGGCTGGCTTTGAACTTCAGACGTCCTTGGCCAAGCCTGCAACACTTCTTTCCTACCAAACAGAGCTCTGATGTGTGGGAGAGTCTTGCCAAAAAAATGTGTAAATATGTTTCATCCCTTTCACAAACAATATAAACAATTGGCTGGTCCTATAAAATCATGTTGATATTCATAAAAATGCAGAAGAAAATTCTGAGCAGAAACTGGCTCTCAAGGTCAAGTCTCATAGAAAACCATGTCACAGTTCTCAGCATTTCAACGTATATTGAATCTAAACAAATATGTCAAGGTAATCGCATGGCTTCCCAAACTCTTAACTACAAACTGAAGTTCTGATTCTGCAGTGTTTGAATGCATGTATCCAACCTTCAGGGCAATGCGTGTTAGAAAGTGCTAGTAATAACTGTGTATTCGGAAATAGGTCAGGGCTTCAGCATCTCTTTAAATGGCACATTTTGACTATTTTTATAATGTTTCTAACTCAACATGGGATATTTAGCATGAAATTAAGTTTATAATTGTGGTTAGACTGCAGGCATGCTTCTCAATATAATTGGACGGTGAAGTGTCTGACAGACAGTACCTGTTTGTTTGGATTAGAAACATTTGAAATCATTCCATTTGCAATAATGTAGTGCACAATTAATAATGTATCTTTCAGAATTGAAATAAAATACATTAAAAAACTTTTGGAGGATTTTATTCCATTATATTTGGCTATGCAAAGAAACAGAAAATCTAACTGCAGCCAAGTTGAGTATTAAAAATGCAACTTAGGACCAGTTTTCTAACTTAGTTTTAATCAAATTAGATTGATCCAATGCAATAAAACTGAATTGTTTTAATTTTTAAAAGCAGCTGCTTCAGCAGAAACTGGTATTGTGCCAAACTTCTCAAGAGGCTTTACAAGTTGTGACTGCTTGTTTTGTGTTTGGAAAGTTAATGTCTCTTTGAATACTTAACATTTTAGCCATCAAATGAAAGCTGTCAGGAAAAGAATCTGGAGACTGAGCAGAAGCAAAACATTTTTGTATTAAAAAAAGGTGATGAAACCAGCACCATCAAATATCTCTTGGTTGGATTCCCAGCCGATTTATTAATTTTGCTAATAAAATGTATTCGTGCCATTTTGGAGTGACTTACCTTTATTTTTCTAATATAATTAATTATTAATTTAGCATATAATTATATAAATAATTTTCTCATTTAAATTGTAGGGAACTTCTTTAATTGAAATTATTGCCTCAGGACAATAATTTTTGTAAGAAAGGAATTTTCTTTGGGAAAGATGTTAAATATTTACACAGCTTTAAAATTCTTCCTTTCATTTTTGGCTGAAGATCTTCCCCAAATTAGATCTGCATTTATATCTTTCTATACTTCCGAAACTTTATTTTCTGCTAATCGAATATATTTCACTGAATATGGCTTAACACCTTTGAAAATTAGTACTTGCTTGATCAGATAGAGTTCTCTCACTAAGTGAACCACTTGGAAACATTAGTTATAAATCTGTAGAAACACTCTGAATTGGACATTTTAAAGGAGCAGGTCAACCTGTCCCCTAGAAGAGACTGACTAAGCTGCACAGACATCAACACCAGTTCAGGGCTAATGCCAGCCTAAAAGATATGTTCCCAGCCCTACAAACTTTTAAATCCCAGCCCAGTTCCATCCCTAGTCAAGAAAAAAAAAAAAAAAAAAAAAAAAAAAAAGAGCTGTTCTTCTTGTATTTATGAGTGCATTTGAATCCTACGTAAATAACACCAAGATAAAAAGATGGAACAGAAGAAATGACAGTCTGATCTCATCTTTAATGTATACACACACATTTTCTATCCCTGCTTATTATAGGTGATCCCTATAGCAAGAAACCTGACCAACTGAAACTTAACAATATCCTACTATATAGATATTTTATGGAATATATTTATATATATTTCCCTTAATGTATGCACAACACAATGGGATTCAAGGAAGGAACCAAATTGCAGGTTGTCCATTCATCATGTATATACCAACAAGGATGATCTGGTAAGGCAACTGAATAGACAATAAAGATTAAATTTAATTCTTGGAACAATGGAAATTAGGATTCTAAGAAGTATTAATGTAAAAAAAAAGCATTAAGAAGGAACAGAAACAGCACAATAGCAAGACAGTGGTCATTGACAGCCAACAAAAAGGATGTCCGATACCATCCTGAGTACACAAGAAGGATTTTCATAGAGAAATGTAGTGAAGTTATCAGCACAGCTGAAATGATGTATTTGCTCTAATTGCTGCCATATTTGTTTTTCATCAGTGCTTCAAATATTCATTATTATTTTTACTAAAAGCATAGTTGAGCCTGATGTGTGGAGCCGTGCTACAATTTTGATTTTATCTAGACTAATTTTTCAAAGAGTTACAGTATCCTGGTGGCAGCGATATAGACACACTAAGTTAATAACCTATTTTACCTTGATTGTATATTCTTGATACGTAATTGAAAAAAACAGGTCACCCACACTGTAAAATTACAATAATAAAAGTTTCCCGAGTTATACAATAATAATTTTTTATTTTCTTTTTAACTGAGGCATTTCTGGAATACATTTAACATGTACATTTGTTGTGCATATTTGCATAAAAATGCCATTTGACCAGATTGATTTAAAAAGTGTTAAGTTTATATTTTAAACAGGATAATACTCTGGCTAGTATAATATGTAAACTAGTAATTTTGTTTTGTATTCTCTGTATAAAGTGTTTTATATTATACAGTAGCTAAGTGAATTGCACTATTGTACATGCAACATGGCTTTTTTTTAGGTTATTCAAGGAATTCCTGGAATGTAGTTTATTGCAATAATTTTTTTTTTTTTCAATAAAAAAAAAGGCTTACTGGTATAAAAAGTGTCAGTCATGTATTTTTAACGTAAAGCATACCAAAAGGCATTAACATAATAAAATGCAGAATGATGCAGAGATATTCTGTATTTTAATCTGCAGAACTGAGATGCATTTAATTCATCCCTGTGGCTATAATCCTGAAATTTCTTAGAATGTTTCCTAAAGATTTTAGTATGTGTTATAAAGTGGGTTGTTAAAATGGAACTGAAAATAAATATTCCTTAAAAAAATTATACTATCTATGTGGTTTTTGCAAGTACTTTGAATGTATCAACATCCTCCTGGATATTTTTATGCACTAGTCAGTTCAGAATTATATTTATAACTCATTTGTCATGTTCCCCAAATAATGTCTCTGAGCTACAATTCCTAATGTTTGTGTAGAATGTCCTTTGGTAAAGAAGCTAGCAGTAGGATTCACAAATGCACTATTTATTCAATTTTTAACTATTCTTTAGCACTTACCTTAGTCATTATAAGTTTCTCTTCATCCCATGTTTTCCCTTTCACTTTGTAATTTTCCAGTTTGTTAATTGTATCCTTCGCTGTCTTTCATTATATTGTAAGCTTTCTGGCACTAGGCTTTGGGCAGGTACTCAGCTTTGGAGGTTCCAGGCAGTCCTAGCTGCTATACTAATAGTAACTACAAAGCTAGTTATATGCATCAGTAGACAGTTTCAGAAGGTTCATGTGTCCGGAAAAGCACAAAGACTGAAGAAATGTAGAAAACAAGTGCATGTAATAGGTAAAAATCTGTATTTTGAGGTGTGGTATGACTGAGGTCATACTCTGTTGGGTCTATCTGCATAACTGGAAATACCTTGGCCAATCTCTGGAACCAGATTAATCTACCCCTCAGTGATATCTCATGACTCAGGCATTTTATTGAAATTTATTGAAATCACAGCAAATCAACAGAGACATAAATGACCCTGTGTATCTAATTCCATTCAATTGTGTTTCTTCATCACGTTGTTTCATAATAAAAACAAAATTCAGAATTGGACAGAGTTAAATAAAAAGTGTGGCGTGTCTGAAGGAAATCCCCTGAGATTTAATAGCAATACTATTAACTGTTAACTACAGTGGCCTTCCAATTGTGATCAGATCTCACCTGTTTGCAGTTGAAAAAACATGATACTATTTCAACTTGGATGTCATATGTGAAGATATGAAACTGTCCACACCTCCCTATTCCTGGTAAAGCCAGCTTCTAATTACCCTTTCTTAAATCTTGAACCCTGGATATGTTTAACAGTCAAGCCTAAAATGATTGGTTTTGTTGGTTTTTTGTTTTTTTTTTTTTACTTTTTTGCTATACCACAATTTATCTGTTCAGGCCAAACCTACATTTAGGACTGTTACTTCGCTGAGAATGAAAAACAAATGTTTTGCCAGCCTTGAAATGTCTCTTATCACCAGATGGAGAGACTTTTGGGATACACTCCTGTGATATCCTTGAATGTTTCTCTGCCCCAGTGCTAAAGGGAATTAACTCATTAACATTTCGAGTCATGGAAATACTCTCACTGTCTTCAGAACCATCAAGCCTCAAGTCAACACTTTGCATGTCTATAAAGCAGGCAGCACTTTTAAAATACATTTTATTATACTTCAATAAACACATTTTTTAAATAAAAACAAAGAAGAAAATAGCCAATTGCAGAAATTATAGACCAAAATAAATCTACAGTTACAGTAATGGCTATTTATTCTAAATACCTACTGCCTAACTGTGACCAATCTGTTCTGTGAATGTGCTTAAAAGTGCTTCTGGCTGAGATGTCAAACAGTAGATACATGACTGTCTTAAAAAGAAGACTCATCCCAAACTCATTTTTTATGACCTAGCTATAAACCCCTCAAAATAAAGATAAGGTTGAAAGCTTGATAGACTTTCACCAAGCAGTGTAAGCAGTTCTGCTGCCTCTGCTTAAGTGCTCATCTAGACTTTACATTACACACAAAAATGAATATTTCATTGTTACAAAGCAATAAACCTTTTAGACCAAATAAATTTGTCATTTGCAAATCAATAAATTAAATGTGTTTGTCGATTTTATATATGAAGCTTTTCTGTGCTGTGTATGTGTGCAAATCAGCAACATTAATAAATAAATCATTGTGAATGGCATGAACCAATTAGTCTCAGACAGCTATAATCCAACTATTTCTATATAAAGCAATATGTTCTGTATTGAATTGTTGAATTATAATTTGCTTTCTTCTTTCTTGCAAATAATTTATGGGCTGTTTTCTGCTGACCCCAGTGAGAAACCCTACTGAATTTAATAGAACTAGTTACGTGTGTGTGTGTGTGATGGGGAGGGTGTGTCTTCTTAAAGATACACAATTGCATCTAATAGAAACTTATACCCTTGACATAGAATTCTGCATGTTAATCATGTCTTCAGGAAAGATGTACAGGTAGGAAATATCTTTCATCGATCGTTGCATATCTTCCAGGTGAAATACTGCAGAGTTCCTGAAACAGTCTTTTTTCCCCCAGTCCCTCGTACTTACAAGGTGTAAGTTGCTGAGGAAATGCTTGTCTGTTAGCTGTCCACATTGTTATGAAGTGGAAAGTCCTACCTTCATAAGAGCAGGCGAAAACACTAGAAATGCGTGCTCCTACTTATGCCCAGATTTCTCTGAAAAGATTCCAGTCTTCTCGAGAGTACACTCTGGTTTTGTATGAATTTGCTTTCTCCAGAGGCTGGAGCACCTACAGGTTTGAAAGTGGAGGAGATGGCAGCTGCTCTCTTCTACTTAAATGCTGATCCTGTTAATTTAGGTTCTGTATAAAGGCAGCCAGATCCAGGGACAGATATCCAAACTTGAAGAACATAGCATATTAAGAGAAGAGTTAACTCTATATGTTGTTTAAGCTGCTAGTTATCAACTGGGACAAATTTCCTGCTCACACAGGTCTGGATTTTTTCTGTCTTATCTGCAGCGTGCAACCGATACCTTAAGTACACAGGAGAGTTTTCAGGACTATATTTCTGTCTCCCTAAGATGCTTGAGAAACTGTGAATAAAACACTGACAATTAAATAAGATGATCCTTGGTCTACTTTTTAGTTTACTAGTAATTTCTTGAAAGGTCTCTGTGACTTAAATAACTTAATGCTGTTATTAATATAATCTCTAATTACAGTACTGGTATCTACTGCTCACATATTATAGGTTTAATTCTTAGCAATAAGCTTTCCCCCCAGAAGTCTCCCTCTCTTAGTTCTGTGCCTGTTTTTTTCAAAGGCTAAATTCCCTGGTTTTATTTTTCTTAAATAACGTGTTAGATAAGCAGTTCTTATATGACTTTTATTGGAAATAATATGGGTCAGGGTGACATATAATAAAGAATCTTATTATGGGTTATGACCAGAGCTTATAAGTTGA